ACATCAGGCTCTGTGCTGACAGCTTGGAGCCTGAAGCCTGCTTCAGATTCTGTGTCTCCCTCTCTTTCTGCTCCTCCCCTGCTCGTGCTCTGTCTCTCTCTCTCTCAAAAAAAAAATAAACATTAAAAAACTTTTATTTTATACCAAACACAATTTCCACAGGATTTATAGAATTATACATTTTAAGTAAGCTCTACACCCAATGTGGGGCTTGAACTCACATCCCCAAGATCAAGAGTCCCATCCATGCTCTAAAGACTGAGCCAGCCAGGCACCCCCAGATTTATGGAATTAAAGTAAAATAGGAAAATTAGAAGAATACATATGCAAATAAAGAGCATATTTAACTTCACTGAAAGGAGAAGGACTTTCTAGGCCTATTAGCCAAGAAATAAGTATCAAAGGAACATATTGATAAATTTCACTTAGAGACAATTTAATTCTGTAAGTTAAAAATTCCACTGATGAAATTAAAAGGCAACCAACGAACTGGAGAATCAGAAAAGGTTACTACCCTTATTACATATTACAATATGGATCAATAAGAGGGAAAATTAAGGCACCCATAAAATAGAAATGTTAACAAAGGACCTGAGCCAACACCTCATGAAAGAGGAGACACAGTTCATAAAAACACATAAAACAACATGCTGTTTTGAATAAATTGGTTAACAATTCAGAAATAAGCCAATCGTTGGGGGTTTTTTTCTCGCAAAAATATAAACCACACTTGCAGAAAACTTGGAAATGCAGACTAGCACGAAGAGAACAAAAACCAGTATGCTTCAGCAACTGAAAGACGATGGGATTTTTTGGGGATGTGTCATTCCACTCGTTTTTCGCATTAGTTCATTTTTCTCTATCGTGGTTCCTTTTGTGTCTTTCTTTTTTGGATTGCCCCACACTTCTGTGTACTTTCGTCAGCCCTTCCCCTAGCAGGGCACACTGCTGCTCCCCTCAACATCATCCTTCCACCAGGAAAAGCAAGGGGAAGAGGGCCTACCAGGTAAGCAGTGAGCCGAGTTTTCCACAGGAAGGACCATGTGGCTCTAACTCAACTGCAAAGGAGGCTCTCCGAGGGGGGAGCACTAGCCACCCGACATGCACTTACACCACTGCCACACAACTATGCTGACCCCCAGCACCGTACGGTTTTGCTTCTGTCGTCTTCGGTCGGTGCAAACGGTAAAAGTAAAGCCCTTGAGGATTCTGTTCATGCTGGACTTATCCACATATGGGTAATAATTATAAATTTTGTACAAAGTACAAAATCAACCACCTAATGGCACTGCAAAGTGAACAATTTCAACCCCCTCCCCCCCCAAATGACAAGCTATTGTCCCAACATCGCTTACTGAATAATTTTTTTTTAACTATTTGGGTCCATTTTTAGATTCTAGTCTGTTCCATTGTTTTTTTGTGTCTATTTATGCACCAGTACCAAACTGCTTTAATAGTGTAGCTTTAAAATGCTTTCCTAATATCTGGGAGGGCAAATGTATCAGTTGTATGTTGGGGTGTAATAAACAAGCCAAAACCTAATGGCTTCAAACACCAACTTCCTATTAAAATTAACTATTAAAATGAACAACGATATGCTGCTGCTTAGAGTCTGAAATTAGCATCTTTACCCTACCCCTGAACAATGCAGGGGCCTTACAACACTTTAACTCGGACAAACTCATAAGCTACTTTTCTCCCATATTTTCTTCTTTCCTTTTGTAATCCTCACAAATTTGATATTCTTTTGTTGTTTTATATAACAAATATTTACTTAGTGAACCATATGTTCACCATTTTCTTTGCTCATCATTCCTATCTACATCTCAAACTTTCCTTTCTGGATCTTTTTTCTTCTTTTTTGAGGTACACTTTTTAGAAGATCCTATAAGGAAAGACTGTTAATATAGTCTCTGGGTTTCTATTTGTTTTAAAATGTCTCTGATACTATCTCTTCAAATATTACCTCTCCCTCCATTCTCTTACCATCTCCTTCTTTGTACTTTGAATCAATGTGATTTTAGATTTAAATTGTGATGTTAAGACCAATCAGAGTTCCGGTGTCGTCAGCCTGATCACACATTAAAGAGTGCGCCATTAGCTTGACTTCGATCACTGGTTGCTTCGGTTTCAGAGCGTCTATCTCAGCAGGTGGAATGTTCTGCCTCCTTGCTCTTTCCTCCAACCCTCAGTGCTTCTCTGAATCAGGGCAGGAAGTAGGGGCTGACCCACACAGGTCCGACCTCCTGTGTCATTTCCCAGCCTCCTGTGTCAGCAGCACTCCAGCTGGATAAGCCCAACGGGAGGCACCGGCAGGAGACTGGGAGGCTGCTCTCCCTCTCTCCTTCAGATCTGTCTCCATCATCGCCTGCATATTTTTGCTGCCTCTCTCTGGACCACAGTGCCCCATGGGTCCTAGCCTCCTCTTAGCGACCTCTGCCTTCAGTCTCTAGCAATATACCTCTTCCCTTTGTCCCTCCCATGGTGGCAGCTGCTTGCTACTGTCGACATCTGGTTTCTGTTTGGTTTCTCAGCTCTTCCATCACATGGGCAACCAATTCCCCTGGTAAATTTCCTGACACCCAGAGCGATTTCTTTTTCCTTTCTGAACCTCAAGAAGTACTATATTGGTTTGGTTTTTAAAAAGAAAGAAAAAGAGAAAGTTCTTTATGCTCTAGAAGAATCTTAAAGCACTGATGTTATCTGCTTTTAAGCCCAAATGAATAAATTTGCCTGGACCTTGAGCTTTTTAAAGTGGGATACTAGAAAAACTTCTCAGGATTTCCTAAGGTTGTTGATCTATGTAGGTTATAGGTTATTTTTAAAGAAGAAAAACATTAAATATCAGATCACCCCTTAAAACTATAGATGTGGATACTATCTTTTCTATAAAAATACATGTAAAATGTTTTTTTGTCTTATTTTTAATAGCAGATTGGCCTGCCTCCAGGTTTGGCTCAAGCCCAAAGTATCTTTTGGGGTGATTAGAGGGATTGTCTCAGGATTCAAAGCCAGCATTAAAGACCATACAACCATGAGTTGACTAAACCTAGTCACAACAGCTGTTGGAATTTATGATGTCAGTTGTGTTGGCATTAAGACTAAGTTAATAGGAGAGAGCTCTCTTAACCTGCAAGTTCCTGACCTATTCTCTCCAAAATATTTCCTCTCACACCTCCAACTGCAAAATGTATTTCTAGAATTCCAGGAGCCACTGTTAAAAGAATCATTACTAACTTCTGCCATACATTTTTATATACATAAACCATCATGATCACTTTCACCGGTACACAAACTCCGTTTATATCATTAATTTATTCATGAATTCATTAAACATTTACTGAGCAAAGCCAGTGCCAGGCAATGTCCTAGACACTGGGGCTGTGGTGACAACCACCACAGACCCTGCCTCTGCCCTTGTGGAATTTACGATCTCACAGGGAAAAGAGAATTGACCGCGTTACTGTAATTTTTGGTAAATGCTTGGAAGTCAAAGTCCTGGATGGTGGGGTTGAGGGTGGGTCAAAGGAGGCTTCCTCAAGTAAGTGACATTTATGCTTAGACTCAAGGATGAGCAGGAGCTGAGCAGAGGGGGTTCATGTGTGTGGAGGTTATCTCAAGGAGAAAAAGAATTTAGGGCAGAAGATGCTAAACTGGAACCATGGTTTTCTCTCCGCAAGCCCTCTTTATTAAAAACACTTTTTAAATGAAAAACATCCTAAGTGGAAAGACCAGGAAGGAAGGAAGGAAGGAAAAGAAAGAAAGAGAAAGAGAAAAAGAGAAAAGAACAAAACCAGTAACATCTATCTAAGAACAGGACCCAACTCTTGCCATCACGTTTCACTGTGTGCCTTTAGCTGGGTGACCAGACTTCTCTGAGCCTCCAATTCCTCCTCCATATAAGAGGTTCATGTTAGCACCCTGCCAGGCTGCCATGAATATGGAATAATACCAAGTTTATGCAAGTGCCTCGTAGCTGAGGATGGATCACCTCCGCGTGTAGGAGTATTTTTTTTTATGGCTATTTACATTTGTTAACCCGATTTCTATGAAGAACTACTTGGGAACTGCAGCCAGAGAGTTCGTGATCTAAGGCTGCCAGAAGCCAGAAATTCAGGGACCTGGGCCCAAGGACGGGGGACCCCCAGGGCTCCCAGTCCGCCCCACCCCACCCCACCCCCAGCATCCACGAGCTTTCCTCGCTCCTGTATATGAATGAGGTGATCTTTCAGCTGCCCTTTGTCTTGGAAAAAAATTAATTCTCATTTGCATTACCTCGTCTAAATGTCACCCACCGATATTTTGTTAGACATTAGCGGCGCTGGCAGGGAGGGCCGCGGGGTAATTGTGTTCTGCCTGGTGCTGGGATTTACATAATTTCAGACAGCAATTAAAGAATCCTGGGGAATTTTTTTTTCTCTTTTCCAACCTCTCCTACAAAGAAAGTGTTCGTTTACATTAAGCGCTCAGCTCCTCGCTGTTCATTTGCATAAAATTAAAGGTTTTTGTGTTCCCGAACAGCAGGGTAACATTTAAAATTCCGTTTTAAAAAGCTCACCTTACAATAATAAAATGTTAATATCATTTCATAGGCAATGCAACGTTGCCAGATGCCTTTCACTTCCAACTTGTACCCACTGCTAACTGGTTGTCCCCTTTCCCTCTCCACCCCTCGCTTCCTCTCAGGCTTTGTCCACCCCTATCCTTCCCCCCAGGTCTCCTCCTCGGCCTCACCTAGTCTCTCTCTTAACCTCTCCTTTTCTCGTTCCCCTTTATTCCTTTTCTAAGTGGAACCCAAATGTCCTCAACCCTCATCAGCCCCGGGGCTGAGAACGAAGTCAAGCCTCCGTGATCATCCCGGGAATAATGGCAGCGAGCTCCGCTGCCAGTTCCTCAAGAGATCCTGTTTCTCCACTGTTCTCCAGGTTACCACCCGCCCAGCCCCACATCCCAGATGTCCTGGACCCCTCAAAACCGGAGTCACTGCTGATTACTCTCACCTCTCCGCAAGCTTCCGCAGCCACCATGGATGCCTGTGACGCCCCACAAAGAGTCCTCCTCCGTCACTGCTGTACCCCAATGGGGCCTGGGCCCCAAGCGTTCCTTCCGTTGGTTCATTCCTTCCTTCGCTCTCTACATCAAATGATGTGGAGATGATCGTGCTTGAAGGTGCTGACAGCAAGGACCCCTGCCAAGAACCTCTCTCCCCTCCCACTGCTCAGCCTGAGGGGAAGTCTAGGGCACCAGACAGGTGCGCTGGGCCCCAGCGCCCAGGACAAGCCTCTCGCCCCCCTCCCCAGGCCCTGCTGGAACTGTTTGCCATCTGGACCTCTTCAGTCCACCCCAGTCCACCAGACACAGTTTAAGAGCCTCCAGACTCCCAAAGGAGGCCAGGGTTGGGTGGGGGGGGGGGGTCCCGGATTCTTCTTTCCTGTGAGCATCCATGCACACGATGTCAGTTTTGTCACTTGGAGGGGCAATGGCTTCGCCCCACTCACCAACTGTCTAACCCCAGCAGGCACTGGTTTCCAGGTGTAGACATAAGCATAGACAAAGGGCCTCAGCCAGAGATATGAGGGGAGAACCGGTTTTCTCACATGGAGAAGAGATTTACTAGCTAGAGGGAAAAGAAAAGAGAAGAGACAGGGAATGAGCCTCACCAATAGTGCAGAGACAAAGGGAACCTAGATAGAGGCAGCCATGTCGGGGAAGCAGAGGTAAGGAGGTGGCAAGGGTGGGGGTTGGAGCCACAGAAAGATAACATCTATCCCCTCTCAGTCCACAGATGGAGAGCTCAGGATCAGGAATGATGCTGAGATACAGAAAAAGAATGACAGTTTTGTTTGGTGCAAACCAGTTTTAGAACCGTTATTCATACCCACAACAAACAGGTTAAGTGTTTAATGTGACAGAGGCTCTAAGGGATGAGAAGGCATTAACTAAGTGGGATGGGGGTGAATGCACTCATTCCAGGAGAGGGCTCAGCCTTTGCGAAGGTTCTGAGGAGGAAGAAGTGCAGCTTGCTGAAGACCCCAAGGTAGGAAGGTGAGGCACGCGGAGCACAGAAAGCGAGAGGAGAGGCATGCAAAAACCAAGAAAGTACAGCCCCTACGCAGGAGAAAAAGCTGTTACTAGGAACTGTTAGGTTCTGTGGGAACCTAGACACTGGACGTACTAGACAAAGGCTCTCAATCGGCTATTTTAAATATGGCCAAAGAGCTCACGGAAGCCATGTCCAAAGAACCAAAGGAAACCATGAGAATGATCTCTTGCCAAATAAAGAATACAAATAAAGACATAAGTGTTTAAAAAAAAAAAAAACAAACAGAGATGCCGGAGTGGAAAAGTACAATAAGAGAAATGAAAAATTCACTAGAGGGGATCAATAGCAGATTTGAGTCGGCAAAAGAAACGATCAGCAAATCTGCAGATACGTCCACTGAGATTATTCAGTCTGTGGAACAAAAGAAACAAAGAATGAAGGGGCGCCTGCTGGGCGGCAGGAGGTTATTATCAGTCGGTTGGGCATCCAACTTCAGCTCAGGTCATGATCTCGCGGTTTGTGAGTTTGAGCCCCGCGTTCGGCTCTGTGCCGACAGCTTGCAGCCTGGAGCCTGCTTTGGATTCTGCGACTCCCTTTCTCTCTGCCCCTCCCCCACTCACTCTGTGTGTGTGTGTGTGTGTGTGTGTGTGTGTGTGTGTGTGTGTGTGTCTCAAAAATAAAGAAATATTAAAAAAATTTTTTTAAGGAACAAGGACTGCAGATAAGTGATCAGAGCCTAGGAGGCCTGTAGGGGGCTGTCGGGCACACCAGCATGTGCATAATGGGAATTCGGAAGGACAGGCAAGAAGAGATAAAACAGCAGAAAGAATATCTGAAGAAAAACCAGCTACAAACTTTCCTAACGTGATGAAAACCACGAATCTACACATCCAAGAAGCTCAGAAAACTTCAGTTTAGAGAAATCTGAAGAGACCCACACAGAAACATTACAATCACAGCAAGGAAAGAGAATCCTGAGACCGGCATGAGACAAGCGCCTATGCACAAGGCATCCTCAATCACATGAACAGCCAATTTCTCAGCAGCAACCATGGGAGTCTGAAGGCTATGTGATGAAATATCTCAAGTTGTGAAAGGAAAAAAAAAATCTATCAACCAAGGATGCTATATCAAGCAAAATGATGCTCCAAAAATTAAGAAGTTAAGAATTCCCAGGCCATTTAATAGGAGAAAGAAGAATCCCTTAACAAACGATAGTGGGCAACAGCAAAAGAATGAAATCAGACCTTTAGATCATGCTATCTACATAATTAACTCAAAATAAGTTAAAGACCTAAATGTAAGAGCTAAAACCATAAAACTCTTAGAAGAAGATGTAAGTAAATGTTCATGACCTTGTGGATCAGGCAGGGGTTCCTTAAGTATGAAAAGCACAAACAGGGGCGCCTGGGTGGCGCAGTCGGTTAAGCGTCCGACTTCAGCCAGGTCACGATCTTGCGGTCCGTGAGTTCGAGCCCCGCGTCGGGCTCTGGGCTGATGGCTCGGAGCCTGGAGCCTGTTTCCGATTCTGTGTCTCCCTCTCTCTCTGCCCCTACCCCGTTCATGCTCTGTCTCTCTCTGTCCCAAAAATAAATAAAAAACGTTGAAAAAAATTTTTTTCAAAAAAAAAAAAAAAGAAAAGAAAAGCACAAACAAAAGAAAAAACCGGTAATTTGGACCTCATCAAAATTAAAAGCTTGTGTGTATCAGAGGACGTTATCAAGAAAGTGAAAAGGAAACCCACAGAATGCAAGAAAATATTTACAAATCATATATCCAGAATATACAAAGAACTCTTGTAACTCAACATCAAAAAGATAAATAATCCAATGAAAAAACAGACAAAGGACTTCAGCAGACATTTCTCCAAAGAAGATAAACGAATAGCCAGTAAGCCCAGGAAAAGGTGCTCAACATCATTAGTCATTAGGGAAATGAACATCAAAACCACAATGAGATACCACTTCGTACTCACTGGGCTGGCTATAACAGTAATTTTTCTAATGGAAAATAACACGAGTTGGCAAGGATGTGGAGTAATTAGAACTCTAACACATTTGCCAGTGGGAATGTAAAATGGTAGCACTGCTGTGGAAAACAGTTTGGCAGTTCCTCAAAAAGTTACACATAGAGTCACCATATGACCCGGCAGTTCTATAAGAGAACTGAAAATACACACTCACACGCAAACTTATAGACACACGTTCATATTAACAATATTCAAAATGGCCGATGAGTAGAAACAGGCAAAATATCCATCAACTGGTGAATGGATAAATAAAATGTGGTATATCCATACAACAGAACGTTACTCAGCCATAAAAAGTACTGAAGTTCTGATATGTGCCACAACATGGATGAACCTTGACAACATGATGCTAAGTACAAGAACCCAAAACCAAAAGGCCACATGTTGTAGAATTCCATTCACATAAAATGTCCAGAATAGGCAAATCCATAGATACAGAAAATGGAACAGTGGTTGCCAGGGTCTGGAGAGAGGGAGAATGGGGAGTCACTGCTTCCTGAATACAGGGTTTCTTTTAGGGCTGTTGAAAATGTTCTGGAATTAGTGATGATGATTGTAAAACACTGTGGATATCCTAAAAAATTTTGAATTGTACACTTCTAAAAATGGTTTATATCGTTTTTAGAGAAAGCAAGTACAATTTTGATACTATAGCTACAGTCAGAATTAATTCAGCCAGCCTCCCGAACTCCTCCAATCTTCAATTTCAGAATCTCTCGCTGTAGTCCCTGAGCTCTCACTTCTCTTTTCAGAGGGGACAAGGGTACTGAGCAGGGAACCGAAGCATAGCGCCTCTACAGGGATGAAGCCCATGGTCGGGGAGAGGAAGCTGGCTGGGAATGTGCAGGTCAGTGCCTCCCACCAGATGTACCTGCCCCGGGGGGTGGGGGGGGGGTGGGGTGGAGGATTAAGGGAGTATAAGGGGTGGGGGAGAGTGGGGCAATGTTAGGGCTAAATAGGTGCCATGGTCTAAATGTGTGCCCCCACCCAAATTCATGTTATAGCTTAACCCCCAAGGTGATGGCAGCTAGCAGGTGGGGCCTTTGGGAGGTGATTAGATCAGTAGGGCATAGCCCTAAGGAAGGAGATCAGCACCCATATAAACCCATAAACACACCAGGAAAGCTCCTTTTTCTCTTCTACCATGTGAGGCTACAAGTCAGTGCCTGCAGTCCAGAAGAGGGCCCCCACCAGAACTCAGCCATGTTGGCACCCTGATCTGGGATTTTCAGCCTCCAGAACTTTAAGCAACACACTTCTGTTGCTTAGGGGCACCTGGGTGATTCAGTCGGTGAAGCGTCCGACTCTTGATTTCGGCTCAGGTCATGATCTCACTCTGTGAGTTCAAGCCCCGTGTCAAGCTCTGAGCTGACAATGCACAGTAGGCTTGGGAATCTCTCTCTCCCTTTCTCTCTGCCCCTCCCCTTCTCAAAATAAACTTAAAAAAAATAAATAAGTAAATAAATAAATTTCTGCTGTTTAAGAGCCACCCAGTCTACAATACTCTGCTCTGACAGTCCAAATAGAAACAGTGGGCTAACCCAAATTGAGCTTGACTGGCTAGGCTGGTGGGCTAGGAGGTCAACAACTCACACAGCATGAACACCAATGCTTATAGAAACAACAGGTACCATTTTCTGAGCATTTACTCAGTGTCCAGCTCCAAATCCAGGGCAAAACCACATCACTGAGTTAAACTAATCTCAAAAATCTTTAAGAGCGTTACTGTACCCATTTTACAACTGAGGAAACTGAAGCTCGGGTTGGGTACCTGGTTTGCCTAGGGTCACCCAGTATACAAAAATTTAAGTGGGACCCAAAGGTTCCTGACTCCTCCCTGCTCCTCTGCCCGGTCCAGTACAGTGCCAACACATGGCTGGTTGAGCCACTAACCACGAGCTTATGCGAGTCTTTGATGGGAATACACTCACGGCCTCAGCCCAGGGCTCTCCCCTTAAAGTCCCTGTGGAGGCTGGAGAAGCCTCAGGGCAACACAAAAGTCAGGGGAGCCCACAGAAACTCCCTTCTTTCCAGCATGGCTGGCAGGATAGTGGGGTGGGG